ATTTATCTTATGGTTGTATGCATGAGATGTGCATCTGTATACTTCATGGCATCCCTAATTACTTGTAACCTTTTGGATATTCATTTTATCTCATATACGGTGAATTCATTGTCTTTTGAGCTTTTCCACTGTGTTTTCAAATATCTTTGATCATTCGTAGACGCTTTTAGTAATAACAAAAACCCGGATTTTTAGGAACCTCGGAAGATTAGTTTGGGACTAGGTTTGGAAAACCCATAATTAAAAAAAAAGAATTATATAAACGAGTTATATATAAACAGTATCTAAAAAGCGGTGTAGGCGGTCACTTAGGCTCTGACTAAACGCTAGATACTCAGACGACGCTTAAATGACTACCTAGACCATGAAGGTTACCTTCTACGCATTTAATTATGTATTTTTGTTATTAAAATGATTTAAGCGGTTTTGAGTGATCCTAAGCACTTAAAAGCGATCTTACAAAATCGTTAACGATAAGATGAGTTTCTAACTACATAAATTTAAATTTATAAGGTTTAACTTCATATACATAGTTATAAAAGTTCATATAAAATATGATATGAAATATATGAATATTTTTGTTTAATATTTGAGTATATGTTATATATAATATCAGATTTATAATATTTTATTTTGGAAACGCTTAAACCGTCTAAAATTGGTTAAGCCCCGATTAAGTATTCTAGGCGTTGGATCATCGTCCGCTTAGCGCCTAACGCTTTCTTAAACACTGTATATAAGCATATATTTAAAGAAAAACAATAGCTAGTTAACAAAAAAAACAGTTACATAAATAACAAAAAGTATACATATAAAAAAGCAATAGCTTTAACCAAGGTCCGGTAGGAGTACAAACAACAGGAGTGGTTTGTTTCAGACCTCCGCAATAATAACAAAACAAAAGAAAAACTGTTTGGCAAAAAAGAAATATGGTTGGAAAAGTATAATAAGAAGAAGGCTTTTTTGGTGACAAAAAGAATGTATTAGTTGAAAGGCTATTTTACGTTTTTGTTTTAATCTTACTTAGGAGAAGTCTTTTAGTTACAATATTTTTAATTTTTTTTGAAATGTTGTTAGTTACAATTTAAGATCTTAACTAATAATTACAGCTCCTTATTCAAACCCCTCTTCGAAATAATTAGAGCTCCTTAGTTAAGGACCTAAGGTTATGTACTGTATGTTTTTTAGCTTCTTCTAATGAATTTTTTACGTTTATTTAAAAAATTGGATGATATTAAAATTTTCATAACTATTTGTTTTATTTACTCTCTAAGAGCATGATCAATGGTAGTGTTTAGTGGTTTTTAATGGATTTTTAAGAAATTTAAAACAATTAAATAATACACAAAATACTTAGAACCCCAATAAAAATGTTCTAATTTTAGAGATTTAGAACCCCAAAAACAATTTATAATAAAAAAATTACTTAGAACTCTAAATTAACAAACTACCATTGATTATGCTCTAAGAACCTAGGTGAGTTCCTGATATTAATCCATAATCAACTTCTTTGGTAAGAAATAAGAATAAAATCCAACGAAGTGATGTAGAGTTCTAAAATAGATAGCAAGGAAAGGAGGGACAAATTATGTGATGGATCCCACAAAAAAAGGGAGATAGATCTCATCTGAGTGTTCAGACAAAGATATGACTGTTCTCCCTCAATTTCTCTGAATCTTTTCTTTACTGTAGTTTTATATAGATCACAAGAATGGTTTGAGCATTTTCACTAGAGTTAATCTTGTGTTTAAAATTAAAAACAGAATTTGTAAATTGTTATGAAGATTTAACATTTTCTGAGTAATGATTTGCGTACTATCTGAACTGATTAGATATAACTACCGGCAGATAGATACTCTAACTTGCATCACATCACCCACAAAAATTTGCATACGAGAGAAATTTTTGGTTGATATTAATTAATTCAAATGTAAATTGATAACAGTCAATTTAGATATGAGATTTTTGGGTTTATTTTAATGAATTCAAATGTAATAGATTACATAGTCAATCTAAAAAATTGGCTACCTCTATGTTGATCATATTAGAAGTAATCTGATTTGCATTCGATTTTTCTAACAACAATTATTTTATTGTGAGTTTATCTCTTATGGTATATACAATATAGGATATATAAAAAAAAATCTTACGTGTTTGTGATTTAGATGTGTTAGACGAGATTATACTGTTTTGCTTATTGTGAATTGCATTACATGCACAATTCAAGTGATATAACCATATTTGCAAGTTATACAAATGAGTCAACAAATGTGATTTAAGTCCTTATTGTGATGAGGGAAAGCAATTTATAGAGAATATTTGTCCCAAACAAAAATATCAAGTAGAGCGGAAGATTTTTTAAGTCGAATGGATCTAGGACACTTGAGTACTGCTAATTATTTTCTTTGTAGTTTAAGTGTTAGCTGATCGACAAAAGAATCTCCATGGACTACGCTAGGAATTGGGTTAAGTAATTTCTCTAAACTAAATAATGTGGCTCTACAAGTTTGTCTAAATTAAAATATCCATGACGATAAATAATTTGTATAAGCCTTAGAGACGATATTTAACATTTACATTCATATAAATTCTAGTATATCTTTAATTAAATTTTAGCATAATTCAATTAGGTATAGATTATATCAAGTTTAATCAGTTTCTGAGATTTTGTAACATAAGACTTCACTATTTTTTAAGAACTTTGTTTGCTTTGCTTTTTCTTCAATTTGGATTTCTAAGGATTTCTAATAAATTTCATTTTTATTAAATAAAAATAAGACATATTCTTTTTTGTTAAAGCAATAAGACATATTCCATTCACTATTTTACTAATGTTCTATAAAGTGCTACGTAATCTAGCTTTGGTTTACGTAAGAAAGTGCTACATAATCAATGTTTGGTCTAGACAGTGTTCCAAATCTTCTAAAGAAAATATAGATTGCATTTTCATGATTTTTTTTTTTTGCATGATCTCTCTAATTCTCTATATATATTTGTGCTTAAAATCTATCAATTTTTTATATATAGTTGTGCTTAGAATCTATTTCCACATTTTGTTACAAAAATAGTATAACTTTGAAACTATGGCTATGTTTGTTTGGCAGTCCAGAGATAACTACTAAATGTTTTTCATTTAACAGTCTGAACGACCAAAATTTTTAGTCGTTCGATTTTTTAATGACTAATCCCTACGATTGGTCGTGCTACACCAAAACAAATAACATTTAGTAGCGGCAACCAAAGATATATAA